ACACCAATATCAAATCGGCGTGACATGGCTCATAGCAAGAAAGACTATCTTGCAGATCATGATAGGTTTTCTTAAACACCAGCCAGTGGTTGTTGTAGTGGTTGAAAATCAGACAATGTTGAAGATTGATAGACCGACTCATTGTCCAAGAGCGGCCAATCAGAGAGTCCTCCGCAATTATATTCTGGATATTTGACATTCAGTAACATTTAAAAAAATGAATAAAAAGTGTATACATCACCAGAAAGCCCAACAGGGATAGAGTCAGTCAGAGTCCAGTCAAGTTTAGCAAGTTGTTGTGCAGGAAAGGCATATGTATCAGGAATAACCAATGTTGACCCCAAGATTCCAGTATTGATTGAGTTGAGCAAGTCCACAAAAAGAGAGATTTCATCCTGGCGGAGCATATATGTGGAATTGTTCCACCGACTGAAGTCTAGATCACTAAGCTTCTGCTCATCAAGAAGATCTGCCTCCTAATTAAATAGTAAGTTATAAAAAGGTATCTTAGCTTAGCACATACTTCATTAGCTGTTGGAAGAAATTCTCTGATTCGTAATTTTTTGGGGGAAAAGTTGACTGGCTTGATGGGAGAGTTTGGAAGAGAGGGCAGAAGAGAATTGTGTGGCTTGGGCTTAGGTCCTGTTTTCTGACTGAACTTAACAGGTGTGCGATTTGGATGAAGTGGTGTGACAGCAGGACGTCTGCCTGCTGTTACACCTCGGCCTAAAATTGCATAAGTAAAGCATTGATTTTGAAACAAGTAATAAACACACCTTTTTGAGGAGTTTGAGGATGCTGAGACACCAGAGCTTTATTGGCCTGTTTGGTTTTGATATCAGAAATTGGACTTTCAGCCAAAGACTTAGAATCAGAGTCCTCCTCTTCCTCCTTCAAACACAAAAAAATCTTCTCCAGATCTCTAGTAACTGTTGCATCAGAAGCAGCTTGATGACGCTGGCCTGTCTTTTCCTTGATAGGATTTCGTGTCTGGCCCTTTGCAGCTGGTCCATGAAGTTTCTGACTAGTTTCAAGCTCTAAAGGATCATAAGTCACATTAATAGAGAAATAAAAAGAATATAGCAGACCAATATAGTCCTTTACTGATCCATGATCAATCTGCAGTCTGACTGCCAAGATGTGATAGCAGGCCTTTCCTGTCTGATCAAATGGAGAACAGGTGCAAGAAAGAGAACCATCTTTCTCTTCAGTTACAGTAGCATAGCACAGAGATGAAGCTTTTGGAGGCATAGCAGGATGTTGTGTGCAGTATAGAAGAAGATGGTGGTAGTAAATGGGAGAGATGTCCTGGCCCATCTAATCTGATCAGCCAATCAATAGGTCTGTTCTAAATATAGTAATTAAAAAACCTGGGTTGGATCAGTACTTTCATAACCCAAAATCCAGGTTGGATCAGTAGTTTCACAACCCAAAGTCCAGGTTGGATCAGTACTTTCATAATCTAAAGTCCAGGTTGGATCAGCAGTTTCATAACCCAAAAATCCAGGTTGGATCAGCACTTTCATAACCCAAAGTCCAGGTTGGATCAGCACTTTCATAACCCAAAGTCCAGGTTGG